AGGAATTCCCTCCATTTTCTTATTAATAAAATGAAGATAATAATAGAACTTAAGACTCATGGGATCATTGTAAAATTTAAATAAAATAATAAATGTAAAATACTCAGCTAGGTGTCTGGCATATAATGAGTGTCAATCAAAGCTGACTACTATGACTACCACCATCTGAGGAAGAAATAACCAAAAATGAAAACTATGAAGACTTGGGAAGAAAGGGAGTGAAAGATGCTTTACACCCCCTTCTCTGGAAGTTTTCATGTTTCTAGATGTCCCATGTCTATAGGACATCTCAGAGTTTAAAAAGTGCTGTTCTCGGGCTTCCCTGGTGGTGCAGTGGTTGAGAGTCCGCCTGCCAATGCGGGGGACACGGGTTCGTGCCCCGATCCGGGAAGATCCCACATGTCGCGGAGCCGCTGGGCCTGTGAGCCATGGCCGCTGAGCCTGTGCTTCCGGAGCCTGTGCTCCGCAACGGGAGAGGCCACAACAGTGAGAGGTCCGCGTATCACAAAAAAAAAAAAAAAGTGCTGTTCTCATTTTATAGATGCCCTAGAACTTTGGTACCTTACTCAAGAAGGCAAGAACCAAATTTCCTATTATTGCTATGTCTTCTGCCTCTATCACTATGCCTGATACATATAGGTGTTCAATAAAATATTTGTTTAATAAATGAATGAGTAGTAGGAACAGGACTTGAATCCAATGTACTGACTCCAAATTATATGTGCTTTTCAATGTACCTCACCTATCTCTCTAAACATAATGATACTTTATTCATAAACAGGACACCCTCAAGACAGATGCAGGCATGGAGTGGTAGAGCTAAGAAGGCAGTGGACAGGATAAAACTAGGCCCACGGGTTTATAGTGTTAAAAAGAAACAACAGGCCGAGACTTCCCTGGCAGTCCAGTGGTTAGGACTCTGCACTTCCACTGCACAGGGCATGGGTTCGATCCCTGGTCGGGGAACTAAGATCCCACATGCCAAGTGCAGTGTGGCCAAAAAATTAAAAGAAAAGAAAAGAAACAACAGGCCTCAAATGGTGTTGCTTGTGCTAATCTCATACCACCAAACCATGGCTTAATACCTAGCCTAACAGGAGTTTCAACCTTCCCCAGGAATGTAGTCTTAAACGTCAGTTTGGAATTTTCTGGTCAGCATCAATGAGATAATCTGCCACACAGACCTTTTCCATCACCCAAAGGAAGATGAGGTCATCTGCTCTTCCCTTGATCCCTTCCCCCTTCTGCCTATAAAAGCCTTTCATTTTGTACAGCTCCTCGGAACTCCTTTCTACTTGCTAGACGAGATGCTGCCCCATTCATGAACTGTTCAATAAAGCCAATTAAATTTTTAAAATTTACTTGGTTGAATTTTTGTTATTTAACAACAGTGATGACAATCCTGGGAAAGAACAATAAAGACAATATGATTCATTTATTGTGAGGCTTTCACATATAATCTGCTCTTCAAGTCCGTGATCTAAACAACACAGGTTGTGTTATCTACATATTACACGTGAGGAAAAAGAGAAGTTACAGAATTTGCCTAATGTCACACAGCAAACAAGTGTGAAAGTTATATTCAAATATTGTATGTATATTCTCATTTCTGCCCTTTTATTTTTTATTTTGTTATTAATTATTTTTACTTCTACCCTTTTTTTTTTTTTTTTTTTTGCGGTACGCGGGCCTCTCACTGTTGTGGCCTCTCCCGTTGCGGAGCACAGGCTCCGGACGCGCAGGCTCAGCGGCCATGGCTCACGGGCCCAGCCGCGCCGCGGCATGTGGGATCTTCCCGGAACAGGGCACGGACCCGCGTCCCCTGCATCGGCAGGCGGACTCTCAACCACTGCACCACCAGGGAAGCCCACTTCTACCCTTTTAAATAAACATTTCTCCAAAGTTGATTTGCTTGATTCAGGAGGCAGTATTATGGCATGATTATAAGTATGGGCTTTGAAGTCAGATAAACTTGGGTTGGAATCTTGGTTTGCTTGCTTACTAGCCATGTGACCCCAGACAAATTAACTAACTTCTCTGAATTTCAGCTTCTTAGCTGTAAAATGGGAGGAGTAAGACCACATCCCTCAGAATTGTTGGGAAAATTAAATGAGATTATAAAGTTCCAAATGCTACAATTATTACCATTATCTGGAGGAGAAAGGAAGAGAATAAAGGGAAAGAGGAGGCAGAAGAAGACAAAGAGAAAAAAATGTCAATTTACCATTCCAGCCCTGTCCTAGCCGTTGGACAGACAGCTGGCTTGGCTGTTTTTTGAGGTTTCCTGAAAGGAGGGAGCACAGAAGGGGTGCTGCTCTGGTGTTTGCCCCTGGAGGTGCCACGTGGAGGAGGTGCCATGTGGAGAAGGTGACAGTGGGAAGTTGGCAGAGCACTAGCTGCAGGCTCTCTCTTATTCTTGGGACCTTCATGTCCACCAACAGAGACCTTACCCTCCGACCCTTCCCCCTACTCACCAGCTTCCCCCGCAGCTGAGCCGGTTTCCCATGGTGCTCTGTCTCCCAGGGAGCCCAGCTGTTTTGCTATAGATAGGGGCTTGTGCATTTCCTGGTTCCCGGTTCAGCTTTCAGTAGCAGCTCCCAGGGAGTCTCCGTCAGGGTCAGATTTCAACCTAACAGGTTGGACTTTGGAAGCCACCTGCTGGAAAGATTCCCAGGTGACTGCTCCCAGCCAAAGGGTAGAGGAACACACACAGGGCTCCAGGTGAGAGCAATCTCACCTTCGGGATTTGGAGCTGCTTTGATGAAGCGTTAACTTTTGAGCTTCAAGCTTCAGTGAGAAGAAACCTGAGACAGAAAAGGGCTCTGGGTTTCCTTAGGAAATGTTTCTCTACTACTTCACACTGTCATTGAAATGTATCGTCTATAATAAAGAGTCTTACCTATGTTTCCCCAGCAGTAAGCAGGTCTAATTGAGTTTCACTTTCAAAGTAATCGGTGTCAGTCTCTTATTATCCTTGTCCAGAATCTGGGATTGAATACTGGACTCTTTGGGAAACTAAAATTTAGGGAAATGTATTCCTTTTGTATTCTCCCTTGCTATTGGAATTAATGTGGGCAAATCACTTTTTTCGAGGACTGTAAAAATGGAGGGCTGAACTCATTACTTAATCCCCTTTCTGGTCAAAAATCATATGATTCTATGATTGGAATGGTCTCAGCACTTCTTAACCACTCACTTCCCCATCCCCAGTACAGAACTACGGAATCTCCATTTAACCTCAACTCAGCTTCTCCTCCAATGACCTGAAGCTGATTCATTCCACACTCACTGGCAACTAGGATGAAGTTGAGCAAATTCCTCTGTAGAAAATAGGGGCTCTAGGAGAATTTGTGGAACCTGTATGGCTTGTCTTCAGTGTTCCCACCCCCTCTTTAGTGTCTTGTTCAGATGCCCAGTTATTTGTGTGTCCCTTATGGATGTTCAGGACCCAGCACTCAGCCCTGTACTCCACGGAGGGTACCCTGGACGCTTCATTCCTCCCCATCTTCTTTCCTTATGAAAAATGGAGATAATAAGAGTCACAGTCTTGTAGGATTGTGGTGAAGATTAAATGAGATAATGTATATAAAACTCTAGTCCAGGGCCTGGCACATGGGACCCTCTCAGTAAGTCCTAGCTATTGTTATTATTATTACTTCTTTTTCTCAGCTAATTGTTAGATGGTAAAGCATCTTACTTTATTGTCTGGTGATGGATCATTGCACTAGCCTCTTATTTCATGGCCGTGCTTCTCCCTGGCAATCCATTCTGTACTCTACCATTAACTGTATTCTTTTCATCCTGTTACCCAAACTTCTTAGTTTGGCACTCAAAGCCCTCCACAACCTCGGTCCCTTTCTAGCTACTTTCTCTAATTTAAAGAAAAAATTTAAAGGAAAACATGTGAGATTTTCATATGACCAGAAATTCCAAAGGAACCAACACTGTGTTGTGGTGGCCAGAAAATCTGATATACCCAAAGCACCATTAATAGAAGTCTAGAGTGATAAACAATGGTATTGATTATTCCACTGAAGTCTGTACCAGTCAGTCCATGATTGGAATAATAATTTTAGGTTTACATGTTGAATTTCAAGTTACAGTGTCAAGAGGCAGTGTATTGAAGAGAAAGTTGTCTGGGTTATAAGTGGTATGGAAAGTCCTATAAAATATGTTTAAAAGAATCAGGCATGTTTAGCTGGGAAAGGGAAGCTTTTGGAGGACAGGATGGTTACTTTTAAATATTTGAAGGGACTCTCAAGTGAAAGAAGGATTGCATTTAGTTTCTGGACATAACCTGAACCAATGGGCAGAAGTTACTGAAATGCAGATTTTGGATCAATGGAAGGAAGAATTTATAACAGATGTGTCCAAAAAGAAAATGAAATGGGCTACCTTATGAAGTTCTAAGCCCTCGGTCACTGAAAATGTCCCAGAAGTTGGCTAATAATCTTCAAAGTATTTGAATGGGATGGGGATTTGGACAAAATCAGAGGTTTCAAATTTTTTTCTAGCTAAGGAACCCTTTCTTTTAAATGAAGCTCAGGTAAAAATTCCAACTACGAAACAGATCAAAGTGAAGCTGTTCTGGTTGAAGTCTGAATAGGATCCTTTTACAATTCTTTTTCTTCTCAGCCAGACGTTAAGATGCCTGAGAGTAGACAACAAAGGAGCATAGTTTTAAATTTATATTTACAATGTATAACCTCCACAGTATATTACTTGGGGTTTAATTTGTTGAATGAGTGAACAAAAGAATACATCAATAGTTATTTCTCTAAGGCATGCTTTAATTTTTAATAGATGGCAATCCTTCAACCAAGAATTGTATTCTTCAAGTGAGGGTTCTTATCCTGGGTGTCCACAGATTCCCTAAGAGGGGCATATGAATGGATCTCAAGAGCTGTGTGAACCTATTCAAATTATATGCCAAATTTCGGAGCATGTGTGTTTTTCTGGAAAGAGGATCTATTGCTTTTATTGTCCATAAAAAAAGTTAAGAATCAACCACTTTAATGGAAGAATTTCAGATATCCATCACAACCTAGTAAAAGATATATTTGGGGGCAGGGAGGTCTTCTGGACACTCCTCAAAGCATACACATGCATGTTCTCTTGATTACAGAGAGCAATTAAGAGGTCAACCCCCCCCCCCCAAGGCTCTCCTGAATACATCATACCCCTAGTATTAAGACTCTACTTCCAAAGGAAGTTTCCCTGGCCATCACCACCATACCAATAACTCTAGCTCCCCTGCATTTAGACTTGGATTGGGTGGAGTGATGCAGCAATTCCTCTCTTTGGGATGTTTCAAGGTTAGAAACAAATGCTTTCTCTCATAGGCAGAGGGTTGGGAGGCTTTGTGATTTAGTGACAATGGCAGAGGCTTCTGTGTCTGTGCCCCTGTGTCTGCATACTCGATCCCTCAGAATCAGAGACCATTTACAGTGGACAGACCTTAGTATGGGAAACCAGGGCTTTAGGCAACTCTGCAGCCAAAAGCTGATTTCCCAACCCCTACCCAAAACAGGTCAGACAGTCTGGAGACCCTTGTTTTTGTGTCTCTAATCACCAGCTCAGACAGTGCCCTCTGGGCTGTTTGGATGGCATATCCCTTTTCCCTCCCAGGATCACTCTCTCTTTTGTTGCATTGTGAGAAAATCATGGCCAGGAATTTGATCTGGAGCCAGTGTCAGCTTCCAGGTGTGATCTCAGCATCCAAGTGTGAGCTCAGGGTGCTATGACATTGGGTGCATCTAACTGAGGACCTTTTTGTCTAGCTGTCCTTTTTGTCTCCCTCCCTGCCCATCCCATCCTCCAGGCCACAGAATAGGGAGCAGCACAAATAAGGCCCTGAGATTTGGGTTTATTCAACTCCACCCAAAACTAAATGAAAACACTATGACACGTCCCAAGGGACCAAACCATACATTGTGACCATGCACTTTTCCCTTCCCCCAAGGATGCTGCTACCTCTGGGGTGGTGAGCAGCTAGTCCTATCACCGCGGGAGCTAGAAAGGGTGCTGGCTCTGTGGCACTCAGGGCTCAACACTGGCTTCCTCCTCTTCCTCTGGATCAGGAGGTGCAGGGAGCAAGGAGATGTAGACCTCATTGACCTCTGTGTCCAAATGTCGGCCACCCCGAGGCGCCTCCAGGTTGAGGATGCCATCATGGGAGAGAGCAGCGCGGACCCGCCAGGGGTCAACATCAGCAGGCAGGACGTAGGTTCGGCAGAACTCTCTGGACACGAAGCCATGGCGGTCCAGGCGCTGGGGGTGCCGGGCAGACACCTCCAGTAGGTTGTCCACAGTCCTCACGGTTACCTCATCGGGGGTAAAGTGGCTCACATCCAGAAATGCCTGGAACTTGCCCTCACTGAGCCGAAGCTCAGAGGCCCCTGCCCTGCTGCCCTCCCCAGCTTGGACAGCCCGGGGCCGGACATAGTAGCCATGGTAGAGGGTGGGGGTCAGGATCTCTTCTGGCAGGAGGCCTGAGGGGCAGAGAGAGAGAGAAGGCAAGAGTTAGAATGAGGGAGGATGGGGTGGGAAGGAGGGTGACATGAGAGCAGATCAGGAGGTGAGGCCTCGGGAGAGCTGGAGGGGAGTCAGGAGAAGCAGGGAAGGGGAAGGAGGGGTCCCAGTGGCTGGAATGAGGCGGCTGGGGAGAGGAGATTGAGAAAGGGAATGAGTTGGGATGAAGAAGAGCAAACCAGACAGGGTCTGGGTGGTTCGCAGGGGAGCCATCCCGAGGGGAGCAGGGGCAGGTATCAGAGCACAGCGGGCAGCAGTCCGCACCGAGGTCAGTAGGAAGGGAAGCGAGCCCTGCCCGGAGGGGGGTGAGGGGGGAGTCTGGGGTGGGAGACGGCTCGCCCCAGGAGTTCAGTTAAGCCCAGAGTGGGGTGGAGGCCAGTATCATTGGGAGGTCAGCCCAGAATTTCAGCAGGTGGGGGTGGGAGGCAAGGGGGTGGCGTCCGTGCCATACCTTCCCCGAAGCGCTGCTCGCCCAGGCGGCTCGGGTTGGCAAACTCGTACTCGGCGGTGGCCGGGTGGGCATGTGGCACCGAGCGGCCCGACATGGCTGCAGACCCGCCGGCGGCCCCGGCTCGAGGTGCGGCCCCAGCAGGCGCAGCAGCACCCCTCCAGCTGCCGCAGAGCCCCAGCGCACTTGGAGGTGGGGGCGGGGTCTACACCACCCAAAATAGTGCCGAGCCCGGTGGGGGAGGGGCGGGCAGCGCCCGCGTCGAGTGTGTAACCCGCGCCGCCTGGACCCCCGTCCCCTCCGCTGCACACCCTTCAGCTGTCACGGGGGGCCCCCCCGGGGAGGACAGCTGGGGGTCCTGGCTGCGGAGCGAGCTGGGGAGGGGAGGCTGGTGCCGGAGGCCCCGGAGAGACCACGCTGAGACCCTCCCAAAGAGTTTGCACGTTTTCCACGCCCCTCTTCCCCTCCTCAGTGGTAGGCAGCCGGCGCTCTGCTTCATCAAGCTCCCCTGGATTTACTGTTCTGCCAGGCCTGTAAAGTGAACGACGCAAACAACTTTCTCCCCTTTCTCTGGGGTGGGGTGAGGGGCCTTCTTTGCCTAGGTTAAGGTCAGGGTCCTCTCTGAACCCAGGGCGACCCAGGGCACCACGTGGAAACCTGCCATTGACATGTTGGTGATCACTACTCTCCTTCAGGGACCCACAAAGAGTTAATATCCTGGGGCCCAGCCTAGGAAGATTCCAGTTCCTGCCCAGGCCCAAGATAGTCTCTGGCCGCATTCCCTTGGCATGCTAGGCTGCAGAGGAGGAGGAGGGGCCCACTGCCCGCCCGCCTGGGATTCCTGCCTCAGTCCCAGCTCCAGAGAAGGGGGGCGGGGGGTGCCATGGGGTGCGGACAGAAAGCGAGTAAAACAAGACCAGGACAAGTCACTGGCCAACTCAGACGTGTTTGTATTTCTCTTTTCTTAGCTCAGTGAGTACTGGGTATGTGTCACACTGCCAAATCCCCAATCACAAGTCTCCATGAACGGGCAGTGAGCTGGGATAATAAAACCCCTGACATCACCATTCCAGAAGCTTCAGAAGACTGCGTATATAAGGGGCTGGCTGTAGCTGCGGCTGAAGGAGCTGACCAGCCAGCTGAGTCCCCACACTCACCTAGCCACCATGGACATCGCCATCCACCACCCCTGGATCCGCCGCCCCTTCTTTCCTTTTCACTCTCCCAGCCGCCTCTTTGACCAGTTCTTTGGCGAGCACCTGTTGGAGTCTGATCTCTTCCCAGCTTCTACTTCCCTGAGCCCCTTCTACCTTCGGCTGCCTTCATTTCTGCGGGCACCCAGCTGGATTGACACTGGGCTCTCAGAGGTAAGTCTCCCCTCTGCCAGGACAGGTGAGTTCATTCTGGAGCCTCCTGGAAGCATCTCCATCCACTGTCCTTTTCCTCCTGGCCTAAATCTGACTAGGTCTAAGGGTCCCAAGTGTCTTAGGCTCTTGTGTGTCCTGCAGTGAAGAAAGATGAGGTCCCTAGTTCCTCTCTTCCCCAATCACCTGTTTGTATTCGATGCACCTCTGTATCCTTATTTATTACATTTTTTCCATGTGTTATGAAGATCATTCTCTGTCCCATCTTCTAAGTAGGATGTCCCTTTCTGGTTTAGTTCATAATGATCTACAGGGAAAGAGCTGCCTTTGCTCAGACTCCTTCGCTCACCTCTTCTAATACCTCACACTCCTGACAAATACTATCATCTCAAGTTCCAGAGCCAGGAGGCAGTCCTACCTCATCCTGAGCTTTTCATCCCAGCTGCATGGAGCTGGAGACAGCAGCCACTATTTTCTTCCTTTCTATTCCCTCTTCTATGATTTTCTGGGTTTCTCAGGGCTGTGACAGGGCACTGGCCTGGGTCCAAGCCTAATGAGGATAGAAGGTAGGTCAAGTTTAGGGACCCCCCTCCACTTGTCCTGAGAGGGTAGGAGAATGGGGCAAACAGATAAGATTGATAGAAGATGTCACAGATAACACTCTGGTTTAAAAATATTCAAGAGTGAGTAAACAGGAGCCAAGTGGGCAAGGGCTTTGGAAGGACAATCAGAGCTAGCAGAACATTCCAGATTGAGTGGGTGGGAAACTTGGCAGAGACCTGAGTAAGAAGAAGGGGCCTTTGTCTCACAGACAAATGACAAGGCCAGGCATTGGGTCAGAGAAGCAGCAGAAGCCATGCCCAGACCCATCCTTGTGATTTGTCCCCTGGGTGGTCTGTCTTCTTCCCTGTCCCTGTAAATAAAGTTTGGCCTGATGACCAAATGGTGTGCCTTGGGTACCACTGTGGTGGCACCCCTGAACTAGAGAGTCATGTTTATTCAAAAAGGGATTTTTAGCTAAAACAAGGAGGATAAACTACCTGGAAAGAAAGCAAGTCTGCAGAATGAGACTGTACTAGTGTTGTTCATATTCCTACTATCTTTTGTCTTCCCCTCCCCCACCTTGCTATTTCCAGATGCGGCTGGAGAAGGACAGATTCTCTGTCAACCTGGATGTGAAGCACTTCTCCCCAGAGGAACTCAAGGTCAAGGTGCTGGGAGATGTGATTGAGGTGCATGGAAAACATGAAGAGCGCCAGGTACGTAGCTGACTTTCTCTTCTGCTCATTCATCCAGCGCATACTATATGCCAGAGACTGCCATCAGCCCCTGAGGCTGGAAGCATTCCAGTCCTAAGCCATAAGAGTCAAGAACAGGGATAAACCTGTTGTTGTTATTGTTGTTGTTGTTTTGGCCAGAGAAGTGATCTTTGTTTGTTTTGATTTGATTGCCTCAGATGGGATAGATGGGATGTTAACTTCCTGTTTAAGCCAGTGGTTCTCAACCTTGGGCACATTAGAATTGCGAGGGGAATTAAAAAAAAAAAAAAAAAAATCCCAGGGCTTCCCTGGTGGCGCAGTGGTTGAGAGTCCACCTGCCAATGCAGGGGACACGGGTTCGTGCCCCGGTCCGGGAGGATCCCACATGCCGCGGAGCAGCTGGGCCCATGAGCCACGGCCACTGAGCCTGCGCGTCCGGAGCCTGTACTCCACAACGGGAGAGGCCACGACAGTGAGAGGCCCACGTACCGCTAAAAAAAAAAAAAAAAAAAAAAAATATCGCAATGCTCAGGCATATCCCAGGTCAGTTAAATCAGGATTTTTCAAAGCTCCCTAAGGGATTCTAATGTACAGTTAGTCAAGGTTGAAGACCACTGATTTAGGAGTAGTGGTTGTCAGACATCTGATCGCTTTATATAATTACATTAACTGCATGCACTCGGAAGGCCCTTGAATTTGAGACTTTTCTTTCAGATGTTTTGGAATTCATTTCTCGTTAGCCCATCTTAATGCTGAACTACTTGCTTTGCCTAAGCTTCAGAGCTCTACTCACCTCCTAATACCCTAGACCCATGTGGAAATCAGTTGAGAGCCTGTCTGGATAAATGCTTGAGATTCAGCAGGTGTAAAGGTTAGGGTCAGAATTCTTTAGCCAAATTCTAGAGAATGGAATAGCTTTTCATTACTTTCTGGGAGAGTTTTTCAATGAGTTTGCTTCCTACCAAAGGCAGTGAAAGTGCGGAGTCCTTACCACTGGACCGCCAGGGAATTCCCACCTCAGAAACTTGTGCATCAAACAGTATAGTGTGAGGTCCTCAAGCTGTTTCAGTTTTGCTTGTATGATTCAACTCTAGATCAGAGCCTCCCTGGAGGGAGTCTTTATTGTTGTTGTTGTTATTATTAGGTCTATTGGTCTGGAACCTTCTGGAACATTCCTGAAGAGTCAGGACAATTTCTGGGTTTCCTCAGGGACTCAAATCTTCAAAGCCAGATGATATTCCAAATCGTGTAGGCCCAAAAAACGTTGATCTAAACCTCTGGGAAATACCCCTGAACATGTCCATGCCTGAGGGTTTAGAGAGCTATGAAGTTTTGGCTGTTCAGACTTCTCAGACTCTCATTGGTAGAAGTGACCACCTAGGCAATTTCATCTTAGCCCCAAACAGAACAGCTATTTAGCTTTCTCTCATGTTGCCATGCATTTGGCCACACCTAAGGGGAAGGAGGATGTCTGAGTTCTAGGCAAGTGATGCTATTTCCTGTTCTTATCTCTCTACCTCTTTCCTTATTCTCTCGGATTAGGATGAACATGGCTTTGTCTCCCGGGAGTTCCACCGGAAGTACCGGATCCCAGCTGATGTGGACCCTCTCACAATTACTTCATCCCTGTCATCTGATGGCATCCTCACTGTGAATGGACCAAGGAAACAGGTCTCGGGCCCTGAGCGCACCATTCCCATCACCCGTGAAGAGAAACCTGCTGTCACTGCAGCCCCCAAGAAGTAGATGCCCTTTCTCTAACTGCATTTTTTAAAACAAGAAAATTTCCCCACCAGTGAATGAAAATCTTGTGACTAGTGCTGAAGCTTATTAATGCTAAGGGCAGGCCCAAATTATTAAGCTAATAAATATCATTCAGCAACAGATGACTGTCTTGTGTTTGAATATTTTGTAATAATCATCACATATGATTTAGGGGACTCCAGGAATATTAGAGTCAGAATGACTGTTTCCAGCATTTACTCATGGGATAAATTTAGCAAGTCACTTAAGCTTTATGGTCTTTAGGTCTTCCATTTATAACATGGGGTACTGATTTGTACACTAGTTGTAAGGAGTAAATTAATGAGAAAAAGGAGGTAAAGCCCTTAGCAGAGTTCAAGGAATATTAGTTCCTCTCCTCCCTCTTTGATTTTGGCCCTCAGTTCCAATAACAAACCTGAATGAGGTCTGGATGACAATGCATAAAAGGCCCTAGTGTGTCTCTGAAATTAATCATGTCACCAGGGAGGAGATGGTGTCCTCAACTTTGACATTTTGCTACTGATAAGCATTGCCTTCAGCTGATTCACAAGGTGGACAGGTGATTATCACAATAGGACAAGTGATTATCTCCAAACAAGCCTCTCAGGTGTAGTCCCTTAATTAGCCAGTAACACCTATTAAAACTAAGACTGGGGAATATACAATCCATTGACCCACAATTTAAAAAGTTTAACTTTTGTTTTTTATTTATTTTTAAATATTTATTTATTTAAGCCACTCTGGGTCTTAGTTGTGGCATGTGGGGTCTTTAGTTGCAGCATGTGGGCTCTTAGTTGTGGCATGCATGTGGGATCTGGTTCCCCAACCGGAATCGGAACACTGGCCCCCTGCATTGGGAGTGTGGATTTTTACCCACTGGACCACCAGGGAAGTCCCTTATTTTTTTTATTTTTTACATTTTATTGAAGTATAGTTGACTTATTATACAATGTTGTGTTAATTTCTGCTCTTCAGCAAAGTGACTCAGTTATCCACATGTATATATATATTTTCATATTCTTTTCCATTTTGGTTCATCACAGGATATTGAATATAGTTCCCTGTGCTATATGGTAGAACCTTGTTGTTTATCCATCCTGTATATAGTAGTTTGTATCTGCTAATCCCAAACTCCCAATCCTTGCCTCCCCCATCCCCCACCCACAGGCAACCACAAGTCTGTTTTCTGTGTCTATGTGTCTGTTTCTGTTTCGTAGGTATGTTCATTTGTGTCATATTTTAGTTTAGTTTTTTTCTTTTTTGGCCGCACCACGCGGCATGTAGGATCTTAGTTCCCCGACC